CTATCTCATTAAGAGGGAGAGGCACTACAAGCGTCCAAAGGCTGAGTGAAACTAGATAGAGATCACTTGCTGTAGGACTTATAAAGGCTAATGTAGATGGGATAGTCTTTGAGCCGTATAAATTATAAGGCTCAAAAGCTGTGGCTCGTGACTTTTTAGGAGAGGAATTAGCTGCCATGGTGTCTAAAGGACAAGGTTTGCTCTTGGTTGAGGAGAGTGAAGCATGTACGTAGCCTATAAAAAGCTTTGAAATGGGTGAGGGACCTTATGTTTGATAAAGTTGTCGTGAAGATAGACGGCGCAAATATCATCATGGCAATCAACAGTGACACTCAAACCGTGAAGTCCAACCTTGGCACTATTCTTTTGGACTATAAGAATCTCATTGTCTCTTTGACCATCGATCGACTACAACATGTTCACCGAAGTGGGAACTCAGTAGCACACGAGCATGCAAGAAGGGCACTCCAAGCTGAAGATGATTTGTTTTGGTTAGAAGAAACACTAGATTTTATTGCATACTTTGTAATAGGAGATTAAACTTTCAAGTAATCTTGTATCTTATTCTTGTTGCCATTATTATGAATAAGATGTGTGCATGATTCATATTGAAATAAAATTAAAAAAAACCTACTTTTTATGATTTATTGTACATGTTTGCTATACAATCTACCCAAGATTTAATCAAAGTTCGTAATACATAAACTAACATAAAAGGACATTAAAACACTATCACATTGTTGTACTTTCGTTGACTAATTAATTGCAGCCTCCATTTGCATTTGTGTTCTCATTTCATTTTCTTCCATAATGCAACAGTTTGCTGCATCTTTCTTTCCTTCATTGAAGTAGCTTTATTGCTGCACATTTTTGTCCCATAAATGCAGTTTCTCGCTACACTTTGTTGTTTTGTGGTAGCAACATCACAACTTGGATGCATTGCTCCAACAATTTTGCTTAACATGGAAATCCATGGCCCAGCACTATGGGTTAATAGAAGAAAAGAGCAAGCTGAGGGTAAAAGGAAAAAGAGAGAAGAAGTAGAAGAACTAAGGAATTGGGAGAGAAAGACAGAGAAAAGCAACAAGAAATTCATTAACATTCAATAATTGCAATGATACAAACATTTTCCTTTCTACACACTGTACAAGACTTAGGCTAATCTGATAACTAACGAGGATCTAGGCGTCCATATTGCCACATTAGCAACCTATAAAATTGGTTGGTATCATCATGGCCTTAATATTTGCCACTCTCAATCTCTGCTTCAAGGTTATACTGGTGATCATTAAGCTCATAGATTCAATACTCGAGTCAAGAGTTACATTTGTCTTACACAAGTCAATTCAAATTCAATGAGTCAACCTAAATTTGAACTCAGCACTAAGGGTGTTTGCAATGTAAATTGGATTAAATTTTAACATTTTAAAAATTCAACTAATTTAATTTATTTGTAAAACTTTTAAATCAGTTCAATCTACTATTATATTATAACAAAGTCAATCCAACTTAAATGGGATTGATATGGTTTAGTTGAACTAATCGATTCTTAACACTATTTTAAATATATTTGATTAGATAAAAAAACAAGCATGTCAAGCTATAAAAAATATAATTATGAAGCATAATAACATCATAGATAACAAAATGATAATACAAACTGCTAGATTGAAGTAAGAATTAATTAAGAAGATGGCAAAAAAAAAGAAGAAGTAAGAACTAATACGGCAATCAAAACATGTAAGTACACACTATTACCACTTTAGAAAGTAAAGAGTTATCACAGTAAAGTTTTTATTTGTATAAGGGACGATTTAAAGTTACACTATTTTTTTAATTAAGTTAATTAAATTATATTGTACAATTATAATGCAAAAATAAAATAAAGTAATGATAGTCAATACAATTAATATTATATTAGAACTATAAAAAAATATTATACTAAAGAAATAAAAAAAGTAAAACAAAAAAGGAAAATTTAAAATACAATTTGTATACAAAAATAAAAATTCTTAAAATACATTATATTTTTATTTTACCAAAAAATTTTAAAAATATATTTAGAAAAAATATAATAGTAAAATTATTATATTATAATTAAGTTATTTTGTTATAAGACAATTCAATCAGTTTGAAAATAAAATCATAAATTAAATTATTTGTATCCATTTTAAAATTTTATAATTCCAATCAACCTAAATTAATATCAATTTAAAATTGAATTATGATTAAATTAAGTCAATTTCAATTGAATCAATCAATTTAACTTGAATATGAATGGCGTTACTCACCATCATTAGACGTAGTTCCTTACTTTTTGAAGCAATGCTAAAATAAAAGCTTAAGTATTCAAATCAGGTCTTTGGGTCCAATGATTCATCCCAAACTTTTAGTGCTTAAGTTTAATTGGTTGAGAGTTTGATTTCTACCAATTCGTTGAAAAAAACCCCTCATCCCCCATAATTCCCCCATTAAAAAAAAAAAAAAAGGCCTAAATATCCAATTTGGTTTCTTAACTTTTTTTGTTAATAAATTTATCTTTAAACTTTAAAAATAATACTAAAAGCATCCTTAAACTTCAATGTACAGTATGGCAAATTTTTTTGTGAACTAATTTAATTTTTTAAATTTTAGGAAAATGATTAAGAGATAACTTTTTTTTATTATTTTTTTATATTACTTTATATGTTATTTAAATAATTAATTCTTTTTATTTATTTAGGAGTTATAATATTGAGTGTATCCATTTATTTAATTACCTGAAAAATTATATAAAAAATGGATCTCTATATCATTGTTTTAAATTTTAAGTGTTAGGTAGAAATTTAGATGACTAATGTGTATAAATTTTATGGTGGTTTATAATAATCATTAATTAATTAATCTTTAAATACGTTAACAGTTGTTTGGGCTGAGAAGAGGGAATTTTTTTTAATTTGATTTTCAAAAAAATTAGAGGAGAGGAGAGAGGAAAAAAGTCATTGCTTTATTTTTTTTTCTTTCAATTTATTTATTTAACTAAATGAAAAAAAAAAAAAGAAACAGAGGAAAATAGAAGGATATCATTCTCCTCCTCTATTTTTCTAAATCTATATATATTGTAAATGACGTATTTATTATTAAATTTAATTAATAAAAAAACTCGAAATATTTGAAATTAAAGAAGTGTCTACCCCTTCATCTTAATTCTTCCCAATTTCTTCTTTCGTCTCCGATTCACCTTCTTCTTTGCTTCCCCTTCTACCTCCGATCTCCATTGCTATCAGTATCTTTTTCCCTTCTTCTTTTCCAGCATCAGTGTGCCTCTCCATTTGAGAAGCATTGCAAATCAGTCTCGATAATAATACGAGAGAACTGAAATCTAACAGTCAAAGTCTTAATGCCCATTGTTAAAATCACTCTAAAAGTAGAAAATATGAAAGTACTCTATTGTTTCAATTATTTTTTTAGAAAAAGTAAAAAGAAAATTTATTTTTAAAGTGTGAATTAAATTATTTTAATTTTTTAACATAATATTTATTAAAATAACATAATTTTAAATTATTTTTTTAATTTTTAAAAATAAAATAAATAAACAGTAACCATATATCAATATATAAAACTATATTTTTTGGAATTTATTAAGTCAATTTGTGGGACCAGCCAATTTGACCAGTCTAACCGGTTATACCAGGGACTAAAATAGTGTCGCACAAAAATTGCTCCATAGACTTCAAAAAACAATCTTTTCCTGCAACTACGTTGGCACGATTGCCCGTTCAATTCCAGTGAAGGGAAATTTTAAGTAATATGTTAATCAATTATTTAAATAACATATCAAATTATATAAAAAATTAATATAAAAAAATTATTTCAAAATCATTTTTTAACGAAAGAAACAGGCGTTACCCGCGAAAGAAGGCATATCAGAACTTACAGCTTGCATTACATCCGAACTGAGAGCAACTTTATTACTTACAAATGTGACAAACTTACACGTTACAAGATTAGTCTCCAATGATTACAGCAATTGCAAGGGGAAAAAATATACAAGTTAAACTCAATGTCACAACAAACATGATCTTCATACGTGTGATAAACAATCGAGCAAAGATGCAGCAACAAACTTTGGCACACTAGCCAGTTCATTTCCGGTGAAGGTCTGTAATATGTGGGCGATGCTTAATGAAATTTCGGAAGACGAATTCCATTTTTTCCTCTTTTTTTTTTTTTAATCTACAGTGGAGTAGTTCTGAATGTAGAAGAATATATAGTGCGGAGCCAAGTAATTGTACCTTTGCTTCATTGAAGCAAATCTATTTAGAGTAACGGAAGCACTTGAGGCTCAATCTGCAGGAGAAAGGACAGATGAACCACCTGCCTGGACCATCAAAGTAATTGTCATGTTAGTCTCACTCTATCAACCAGACTCAAAAAAACGTGCAACAGCCAAATAAAGTTGCTCTTCTTCAAAAGGCTTCAACACATAGTCATCCATCCCGCACTTCATGCATTCTTCATTTGTAGCCTGGATTACATCAGCAGTCATTGCCAAAATTGGAATGCGCCAAAAAGCCACATTTCCAAATTTGTCAGCTGATGCTCCTCCAGATGCAATTTTCTCATTGACCTCTTTCTCTAGGCTACGGATTTGCCTAGTTGCTTCAAAGCTGCATTGTTTTAGAGAAAGCATCAGGACTGAGGAGTACAGTTAAAAGGGGGAAAATGAATGAGAAAGCTGTCACAAGAATTGATTGATAACTACAAACAATCACTAAATAATAACTGCAGTTCTTGGCCTAGATTTAGTTTTAAACCTCCAAACACTGGTTGGGATTGACACTTTGGCTAGCAAGCTAACAGAACTGGCAAAGAAATAACTGGTTTAGTGGTTTCTAAGTGCTCACAAAAGGATGCACAAAGCATCCATACATCCTTGGTTCAGCTAGAACAATACAATGGTTGCATTTCAAAAAATATAAATTAACAAATAAATAAAGATTAAAAGGCAAGAAGTTACCCGTCCATCTCTGGCATTTGGAGATCCATGAAGCAAGCATCAAAATTGTGGGGTGGCTTCAGCATTTCTATAGCAGCCCTGCCACTTTCCACACAAGAAACAATTGCTCCATATTTCCTTAAAGCACCTTCTGCCACTCTTCTATTAACCTTATTGTCGTCAACCACTAAAATCCTCTTCTCCCTAAGCAGACTCCCAAGAGTTGATATTTTGTTTCTACTTATTCGCCTCTTTTTACCACTTCCAAGGGTTTCTTGGAAAGAGCCAATCAAGACACTCAACCGAAGAGGCTTTGCCAGCACATTATCTACAAACCCAGCAGCCTTAAGTTCATTGCGTTCAGTAGAGCTAATGGAGGTAGCCAAGAGAAAAATCTTAGGAAGGTTTATTGAGACTTCTGCCCGGCTATTTAGTCTCTCTTCTTTCAGCAATTGATGAAGAACATGAATAGCTTCCTTATCCCAAGCATCTTTGTCAATGAGAACCATGGCCAAATGTGCCAGTACACTGTGGAAAGAACCAACAAAGCCTTAGATCCTTTAGCAATAAGTAAAACTTAAGTCGATTCATTGCTGGCAATGAATATAAAAGCCATAGATCCTTTATCAAAAAGTATAACTACTACTACTACTCTAGCTAAGCAGAACATACCTTGTGCCCCTGTTACTTGACAGATAATCACTTGTGGATTCAAGACTAGTGAATACATCCACAGATATACCAAGTCTCTGGAGATGGTATCTTGTGACCTCAGCTCGGATCCTCCGGTCATCTACAACCAATGCTTGCAATCCCCGGAGTTCTGAGATTACCAAATCATACTGATGAAACTTCAATTCCAGAGGACTTCCTTCTCGTTTTCCAAAAACTCCAGTGAATGAAAAGGTACTACCAGTTGCAGGTTCACTCACAAAGCCTATTTCCCCATGCATGAGTTCCACTAGATGTTTGCTGATACTCAATCCTATTCCTGTCCCACCGTAAGTTCGCGACATAGAACTATCAGCTTGCATGAAAGGGGTGAAAATGCGGTCTTGTGCTTCGAGAGGAATTCCGACACCAGTATCCTCAACTGTTACTAGTATTTTAATCCTTTCATGATCTTCCATTCTATCAGTGCCATATAGTTGTTTAAAACTCTCCCAGCTTTTCCGCCTGTCCACCACAGGAAATCCACTCAATGTATTATACGTTTTTTTTGACACATCTTGAAATGGATTCAAGCCTTGTTGCAGCACCCCATCTCCAATATCAAGTGTACCTCTCACTTCACCTGCCACATGTACTGACACAAAAATATGGCCCTTATGTGTGAACTGCAATTTTAACAAGTGAAAAGTTATAGAACCAAACTTTTGAAAACTTGATGAATACAGGCTCTGAGTAGAAGAGAATAATCCTTGACTACCCTATCAGTAAAACATAACAAGTTCAGAAACAAAAATTCGATTGCCAAGTTTTTGGCTACATAAAATATGTAAATTAAAACAGGCAACAATAAATTGAGAAACAAGTACATCATGTTTCAGTTTTTAGTGCATTTTATGATAAATTTAGATTTTTATTGATTTGAAACTAATAAACAATACATTTTCAATTTTTGAAACAAAAATGGCAGGTTTGGAGATCCCTGTTGGAGCTATGGCATGAAAGCTGAAAATGCAGTGAAATGAGATCTGCTAAATGATACTGCAACATGACTGCACAGTAGCAGCAAAGTGACAGCAGCATGGAGCTTCACATGGGCTACAAGAAATGGCAGCAAACTTCATCACTTTAGTCAATGTTTTAGGCAGTTAATAATTATAGTTTAGGTAGAAAAATATTATTGTTTTATGTGTAGTCTTCCTCCATAAAAAGGAAGGAAGAAATTGATGAAAATTGAGAGAAAGAGAGCATGGTTTCTCCTCTCCAGTTGGGTGAATGTCTGCACCCTTCCATGTTTATGGCTTTTATGTTCTATGTTATGTTGTGTTGTTTCTGCTATAAATAGCAGAATATCAATGGAAGAAAATGGGTTCTGACCTCACCAAAAGAGGAAACTCCAGGTATCTCTACCTCTCCTCCAAGTCCTCTCTCAATCCCTCCCTTCTTACCTTCAAAAATCCAACAATCCCCATCCCCATACTCATCCCTAATTGAATATCAAACTAAATATAAAAAGTATACCTCCATTTACTAGAAATGGCATTCCAAGGATAAAAGTTAATTTTAAAACATTTTTAACAAAAGTTGAACTGAGCATCAGTAAGGATCACAGGTTTCTCCAATTATTGTTGTTCCTAAAAACACACTAACAGGGTCCCACAACACATCTTCAGGTTTTCTATCTCAAATGTAAAGAAAAATTATATCATATTTCTAGGCACTCAATTTTATGATAAGAAAAAGTTGAATTAAGAAGAAAGTACAAAAAAAAAAACAGCCAACCTTAATTGAATTTCCAACAAGATTTGTAATTATTTGTCGAAACCGCCCAGGATCACCAACTACAACCTCAGGAATGTGATTGGATACATAAACTGCCAACTTTTCTCATTCAAAAGAACATAAACAAGAAGCTTAATGTAAGAAAGATATCAATAAATAGATGAAGAAAGGAATTAGATGAATGAAACATGTGGAATAGCTTGGCTTTACCTCAATCCCTTTTTCATTAGATTTTCCAGAGAAAAGTGATAGCACATTATCAAGAATGGAACGAAGATCAAAAGGCACATTCTCTAGCTCGAGCCTGCCAGATTCTATCTTCGCCTGATCAAGAACCTCATTAATTATTGAGATAAGATCCTTTCCACTAGCATGAGCTGTCTGGGCACAGTCCATTTGGTTTGCATCAAGATTTGTGTCCATCAGCATTTGCAGCATACCTGGAAGGAACATGATTATATAAGGGTTTCTGCTAACCAATCACAGAATATCTGAATAAAAAATATATAAATGAGATTCTTCTCAATCACCTAAAACACCATTCATCGGATTCCTGATCTCATGGGACACAGTTGCTAGAAACTACAAAATAGAGAAAAGTTTAGTTAGAGAAACATTTTAAGTAAAATCTCTTACAACTTTTCTAGGACAAAAAAAAAAACTGTATCAGATTAAACTTTCCAGGAAGGAAAAGGAAAACTATAAAGTAAACCAAGACTCTAGGAAGAGAAAGAAAAATTTGATTGCTAGTATGCCATATGGACCTGAGACTTTGCCACATCTGCAGCTTCAGCACGAGCTTTGAGCTCCATCATTTCACGATAGTCATTCTCCACTTTTGTTATTCTATTTATGGCTGCATGGAAGATATGACCAAGAAGCAAAGTGATGACTAGGACTCCCACTGATGTATTTATTGCTGTCCAAGGTAATGGAGGTTTTTGCTTGAAACTATTGAGAGAAAAAGACAGCACTGTTGAGAAAATAAACAATTCAATGTCTTTGAGATGGTACATATTAATTCTTGTGAAACCTAACCTGCAGTGCATCTCATGCTTCCTTAATGGATCCCCAAAGTCAAGGCTGCTAATGTGCAATAGACCTGTATCATTTACATCAGTACCATACATTTTGATGGGAGCAGAATCATTGGTCGTGTCATAAACGTTGACAAGAATTGTTTGCTTGCTGGAAAGTTGGTGCAGGAGCTTCTCCACCAGAGAGTGAATATCATAAGATGCACCCAGATATCTGATTAAAAAGTGAGCTCCAATAATAAAATCTTTTCAAGATAAAACATCAAGTACTCCACAAGATTAAAATATGCCAAAGAAGAGTGATTACCCCACAGTTGCTTCAGTACGCTGCACAGGCGTGGCATCTGGAGGCAGATCAGCATTATATACAGCAAATGTGAGTACAACACCCAGGTGGTTGTATTTCAAAAGCTTAAAAGGAGATGTCAATACTCCTTTTCCAGATGCTCTTGCTCGCAAGATATTCTCGCGGTCTTCCTATATAACAACAGATACAGAAAACTCACATTAGATTAGCAAATTCCAAGATAGAATATGTAGTTCTGCTGTAAAAAGCACTTTCAAAACTATCAAAAACTGTATAGTTTTGTGATTATTCTATCCATGAGTAGAAATATACCATTAGAAAATTTAAAGTTTCGTAGAAGCCATAACATTTCTAGGCATAAAATCCGAACTTGTTGAGTTGATTGAAGCTCAAGCATTTTTTTGGGAGTCGCATTGATTGTTGTCACAAGATGCAGTTAAACAGTACAGTTCAATGTCATGGATGTCATGGATGTTATGCCCCAATGATCCAAGTAGGCATTGGTAAAAGCATCTTAGCAGAACCATCTCAATTGTATTTCATTTTTACTTTTAAAAACTTTTGTGAGGTTGCTAGTTAATGGAAAGGGCTTCTCTTGAGTCTAGCATTCATGATCCTCATTCACTTTATTCACGTCATTCAGTTTTCATCCAGTTGCCCAATTTAATTTAGTTTCAAGATCAATTATTATAGCAACCAGTTGTGAATAACCTTTTCTTAAGTTTTTTAATGCCTGTATTTACAACTTATTTTAGTATTTATTATACTTCCATGTTTGTTCAATTATTTTAAACCTTAAGTGTGATGCTTTTCCACCACAAAGAACTATTCCTAGAATCATAGTGATCTAAAACTATTTATATCCAGAATCTAAAAGACGTGCTCTAAGGGGGATTTCGATAAATGGTAAGAATGGAAGGATTTTTTTTTCTTTAATTAGTTCATGCAACTGTTAGTGTGTTTAGCATCTGCTCAGGTTGTTGGAACTCAAGACCTTGACTGTAGAATCAGAGCTTTAACAGTTGACACCAACCAGGCTAAGCTCCAGTGGATGAGAAACAAAATATTTTGTTTCACCAGGAAACATAATTAACTGATTACCCTTTAACCTGAATTGAATATATATTATAAATTTTAGATACCATATTTTTTTGGAAGTTTCCTAGTAAAGTAATATACATATATAACTAAAACCATGATCAACAGTTTAAGATGAGCAAAAAGGAAAACTAAACAAGAATGAAAATATAAGCTTAAGGTAAAGAAACTTACCTTTCCTGACATCATGTCAATAGAGACAATGTGGGACACAGTTTCTTGTGAGAATATCACAGGAGCATATTCATCTTGAATGGGTGCAGGATTCAACTTTTCGAGGTTGCAATCTTGGCCTAGAGTCTGGTCCTCAGACTCCATTTTCTTTATTGTCCATTCTCGCTGCTTCTCAAATCGTGCTCTCTCTGAGTGAGGAACTTTCAAAGCATAAGCAACACCACTAGTAAGTGGTCTTTCAAAAGCCGTTCTCTCAGTGTATTCACCAAATGTTTTCTGTAAAACATAATAAAGAAGTTCAGTTCAACGTATGTGTACAGTTAAAATTCATTTCCCTTTAAAAGCTATTTGAATTTCAGAGACAAACATTTTCTAACTCTAGCAACTATTCTCCTTATGTATCATTTGGTTCATTACCGTCTCAATAAGTAAACTAATCAAAGTTCTACAGTTTCCTGGTCAAAACATGAAACTAATTAAAGGAGGAGATCTTTGAGTCACCATTCTTTGTAATAGTCTAGTTAGTCTGGTGTTTAAGGTGGTTGGATATGACGTTTTATTGTATCTTTTGGTAATATATTATGACGGTTTGAAGTAAGGATTTGAGTAACCCTTGCACTCCATAGTAAAAAAATTTATATAGTTGATAAAAGAAAAGTCTGGTTAGTCTGGTGACCATATGTAATTTCTAAGATTTGCAATCCTTACTAGTTCCTAACAGAGAAACATTATATATTAATATCTTAAGAAGCATTTGACATAAGGGATGAAACATATAGAAGGTTACCTGATCAATAGCAGATGGATGTTTTCCATGATGAAAAGTGGATACCAGAATGGCCAAGGCATGAACATGATTCATGCTGACATTGAATTGATCCTGCAACATCCGTGCTCTTTCATCACACATGTTAGCAAGAGCCTCTTCCCTCCTTAAAACATTTTTTTCATACAAGTGACAAAACAACCAGATCGAGAAATTAATCCCTAGCAGGACAAAGGCTATTAGGAGCTTTTTCCTCCATTTTCCAGCACCTTTGGGATGGGTTTGAGCTTGCTGTTGCTGCTTCTGCTGAAGTAGCAGCTGTCGCTGCTGAGCAACAGGTTGCAACAGATCTGGCTTAAGCCTTTTCTCCTTCCAAAGCTTCAAATTAACTCCAGAAATCATCCAGCTAATTATCATTCCAATAAGAAACCACCAACATCCTTTCACCAGACAAAGAGCCATATTTTCACAATTACTTTTAACCTGGAACCTCAGCTCTCTGGCTTGTGAGATGCCCTGGTGAAAGTCAATCCACTAAACCAATTATTCCAAAAGCATTACTTAGGATTTAGGAACACAGGTTTTTTCTTTTTTTTTGGAATGTTTTGTTCGTCTAGGACTTTCTGCAAGCAATTCCAATAAGATTATGCTTGCATAAGTGATTTGGGTAGATTTGAAAAGAGAATGCAGTTTGAAAGGGCAGAGAAAGCCATTTTCCACACATTTGAGGTACATGTGGATGCTTGACTACAGGCTAGTTGCACATTCCAAACAGTTCAGATAACAAGTTTACAACTCAAACTGCATGTTACAATTAGATTATTATCAACCAAAAACATGTAAGAAAATTTGTTGCATACGCTTCATATTGTCATAGTTCTAAAATGTTTAATTTGCTTCTCTATAAGAAATTAGTTATCTGAGCAAATAACAAAACCCAATGAAATGCAACATGAATTCCATCACATATTTATTTGGGAAAGCTTGCATAACTAAAGTTGTAACAGTGCTAGGGGGGGTGGGCATCAGTTTGGTTTTGTTACTGAATTCAGTTAACCAAATTATTATTGGGTTAATCCAGCTACAGAAACTTTTGATCAAAATTAGTTAGACTGATAGCTCTTTTTGGTTAATTCAAATTTGGCCCTTGACTATACCGGTTCCAAAATAAACTTTATTCCCTTTATCCCATAATGACTGTCCTATTTTGACCATGTACATGGATCAAGAATGTCAATTTTTCTTGTGATTAATCTATGCTTTTTCCAATTTTATCCTCAATTATCAAGGACAGAGATAAGGTGAATTATTAAAAGTCAGCTTTTACTACAGGTTAAAATGGGAAAGAAAAAAATAATGCACTTTGAAAATGTAAGACGGATGGTTAATTTTGGACAATTTTTTTCTCAAAATAGGATTGTTATTGTGGGACAGAGGGAGTTGTAGAATGTGGTTTTATCTGAATTTAACCGATAACCAAATTAACCAAACCTAAATTTAGAATTTGGTTTGATAATTTAGTTATGACTGAGAAACACCCACCCATCAAATAGTTCTGTGTTCAATCTCTATTTACTTACTAGTTAAGCTCTTTCCTTTTCTACTTATTTATCCTTTCAGAAAATAATAATAGAATTTAACTCACTGTAAAAAAGACTCCATTTTGAAATGTAAAACTGGCTTTCTAGAAAAATCCTACCTTTCTTCCATTGTGATGCTCCAGTGAAAGTGATGACATTGTAGATTGTGGAAAAAATGACATAGATTCAACGTCCATTTTGGGAATATTCTCATCTTGAACTGGGCATTGATCTTTAAGTTCTGCATTTTCTACAACCCACATGTGCTTCATTGAAAAATCCTGCTTATCTGAACACTTGACCTTTAGTGTACATGCAAGGTGATCAGTCGATGATAGTTTAGCAGCTCGATCTTTGGTGCATTCCAGAGATGTCATCTGTAAATCAAAACAAATATTTAGTAACACCTCCAATTTTTTATTCGGAAAAAGTCTTCTTGCAACCTTTCATGTAGTCACGTTTTTTAAATGGTAAATTTTTAATAATATCACCTGAAAGGGGAACACATGAAAATGATCTGCCTAACTGTCTTATCAAAGGCAGCAAGAACTAGAACACGATAAGTTATCTTCTAAATTTGATATTCATAGTGCCAAACTTGATCCAGACACCAGACATGGTTGTATGACATAGCCATGTTTATGCAACCTCTCTGGTTTGGAAACAGAAGGAACTGGAGATGCTTCATAATGAAACACTCAACTAGGTTCAAGTAAAATCCACTGTCCTTCACTAGCATGTCCAACAAGGCATCTAAATTATCAATATATAAGTCATACAGCATTATCTGCTGAGAAAACTTCTAAGATTACATTTCCTCTCAAAAGCGTGATTTCATTATCTTTTAATTTAGCAAGAAACATATGTTCTCCCACTCTTTCATGATGTCCAGATAGATAAGCATTATTTAAAGAGTGAAAAAATGAACACAAGAACAACTAGTTACTAGCCTTCTAAGAGAATCAAATAGAACACAGACAGTTTAAAAGGTATAAGTTAAGCTTGAATGTTAATAGGAAAAATCAGACCACTAGAAATAGTTCCAACTAATCCAATTTCAAGAGGATTGTTACGGTTTTCAACACTCAATCATTCAACTATATGAAGACAGCTTAACAAAGTAGCACAAAAGATATAAAGCCCTTTGGTCAGATAATACCCTATATTTCATTTATAATAAATCCCAATCTGACAGTATATCAAGTTCTACAAAGTAGAAAGATCTGAAGGACTAGAGCCACCGTTTGTACTATTCACTTCAATATTTCAATTATATACTCTCCATATTCAGCTCCAGAAGAACTTCCACCAAAAAGAGGATTTCATTTGCAGATACTACTTGAAGATGCCATGAAACAATGTAAACCAAAACAGGAAGATCCACAGCAGTTAAAGATACAGGATCCGGGAAAACATAAAGACAGTACCTGGTCTGATTCAGAGAAAAACGAAGCCAAAGCATGAAGCTGGTTCAGGCTGACATTGAAATTTTGGAGCAAGATTCTAGCTTTTTCTCCACAAGAGTCTGGAATTTGCTCCTTTCTTCCCAGTGCTCCTTTATCGAAACTTGAGAAAAACCAAACACTCCCTGCAACAACACCACCTAAAAGCCAGAGAATAATAAGATTTCTCCAATTCCCCACATAATTGACTCCATGCATGGTCTCCTTCGCCTTCTTCAGCTTGAGACTAGCTGGTAATTTGTAATTAGAACCAGAGAGCTTACAGTTCATAGACATTTTAACGAAAGCCCACTTGTATAATTCTACAAAGAGCCTTGAGAGCTTAACCAAAACCCCAGTTCCAGAAGAACAACTCATCAAAATCAAACCTCCTATAGAACTGCACAGAAAAATTCAACTGCAAAGGTGAAATGTGCCAAAGAACCTTTAAATTCTTCGACTAAACAAGTACAGAACCCATAAAAAAATGGATGCTTTGAGAGGAAGCACTAAGAAAACATAAATAGAATGTGAAATTGACTGAAACCCGGTTCACTGTTAAACAACCCAAGCCCCGAATCATACACCCAAGAAAGCAAAGTGGTCCGGACTCTAGGATTCTTCCTATATTACCCACTTTATGGTGCAATACCACGTTTCTTTCTCATCCTCCTGAAGGCTGAAGCCACAAATCCCATCACAACGATACCTGTTTAGATGAACACATAGGAGCAGCAATCATGCCAAAACCACAAGCTGAACCAAAACCCAGTTGCTATTTTGGCAACCTGTCAGGGAATCATTAATGAAGTAAGGTAAAAAATGGCTCTTTTCTTTATCTGGTGCTCTCTCCACCACTCTCAGGTCTGTATATCCAAAAGAAGAATCAAGAATGGAACTTTTTTAAAATAACACCCATAACCAACAATATTAGGATTAACCCAGTTGGTTTTGTCAGGTAACCCAACTGGAACCAATCATTAGACCCAGGATAAAAAGAAAAGAGGTGTAACTTCTTTTGCTTTTATACCACCTCTTTCTCTCTCTTCAGTTTGGTATCCAGCATTTGATACTGAGGTTTTGGCGTACATGATTATCTCATCATCATCTAGTGGGGATGGTTTAAGCACAAAAGCAAACAAAAACCCAGCATCAGAGATCAGCCCACAAAAGCAAACCTCCTCACGGTAATAAAGTATTATATAATTTTTTTATAAAAAAACATAAAATATTATATAATTTTACACTAAAGTTTTAAACCATCTCCCATTTTCTTTTAATTTTCATTTTTCTTAATCCGCCCCACTGTTACTGGTTTCTCCTTTTTCTCTCTTTTGTGAGCTGAAAAAGACTGAACCATTCCAGCGCTTAAAGATGGGTATTCGTTTCCTCAGCTGTTGTGCAGATGGTACGGATTTAGAGACACAGAAGCAAGGAGAGAAAGAGAGAGAAGGGATTAAAAAAAAAAACAAAGTACCGTGCATATTCTGGCGAAGCCAGCGACACAGCGAGCCAACGCTTCCTCACATCAGAGTTCAGTATTTTTTTTTTGTGGTCACCAGATTTCAGTGTGTTTTATGCGGGCAAAGGAAATATAGGGGGGAGTTATTGTCATATAAAATATGGTTGATATCATAATTTTTTAATTTAATTATTTATTATATTTTTATTTCATATTTTTTATAAAAAATTTAATTATCAAGAAATCTATATCATTTATCAAGAATTTTATAATTATTTTTATTGAAAAAAAAAATCTAAATCAATTAGCATAATTTTAGTAAAAAGAAAATAATTTAA